TTAATCGCAGTTATAACTGACTATTCGTTGTGTATATTAGTTAAAGCGGGGAATATTGTCGGCGTTAATACATATCAAGTAATTTTCACAAAATATAAAATATTAAAACAAACATTATTACAATTGGGTGTTAAAAATTATTAATTAACTTTAATTCACAATTAATGTTAATAGGATTTAGTGAGAGCATCATTTGGCAGCCCTGGCTATTGGCTCTTAACTTTTATTCAATTTCTTTACCCATTTATTGGTATACATTTTTATTGCATATTAACGTTATAATTAAATTGCATGCGATTTCATTACTAATTCATAACATTATTTTATAATTTATAAATCTACTCAATATTTATGCCAAAAACTATATGCCATTGAATAGCAATGATAAGCTATAATGTAATCATTGGCGACACAACAACCAAAGTTCTCATCAGAATATTCAATGGTTTGTTTATTCAACAAAAAATCAATAAATAACATAATTATTAACCAAATAATCATATTATTGGCCAATAGTTTCGCGAAACAGTTTACTCGCAAATCGTAATTCAGTGGTATTTTTGTGCTCATTGTTAGTGACATTTCCGCTCTCGTTATACAGAAATATTTCTAAATTAAATAAAGTGAGTCTTATTTTCATACCTTTTTCATTTTGGACAACAATTTTCATCAAAACCATTAACTTTACATTATATTCATCCATAGGTTTCCCTAATATCCTTACTCTTCATATTCTTCATCCTATCGTTTATATTCCTGCGAATCGAAACACTTTCGGATACAATGTATGCATTAAATAATATTTTGTTTATTAATTTCAAATGTATTTATAATATAAACGATGAAATAATTACATTCCAAGCTGTTTTGACTCCCATTTTTAACCTAGATCAGTAAAGCCCACTCGGGCAAATATTCGGGCAAATCTGTATTATCATTTATGTACAACATGATATTTCTTAATACATTCATATATCAGAATATAATGATTGTACAACATCTACGTCGACCTAAAACATGTCTTTGGACCTTCCTGACCTAGATGCTCTCATATATTTTTTGAATTGGAAACTATTTCTTATTAGGGAAAAAGTAAAAGTATTTTACTTTTACTTAAGTAATTTTAAAGTATTTAATTTAAAAAATTTTTAATTTTAAATAATTTTCTATGGGAATTATATGCTGGTATAGCATTTTTGCAATATAAACCTCCCCGTACAAAAATGCCAGGAGGTTAACAAAATTGTGAAATAGCCAAAATATACGTTCAATGAATACATAAATTCTCCAATAAAAATATTTTCTAAAAAGTATCTAGGTAAAGAATGGCAAAGTGTATCACTTGGAAAGTAATTGTGACTTTCATAGTATAATCTTTATTTCATTACTTAAAAATAATTATATTTTGAAACACATGTGCGGACACAGACCGCGGAGTAATGACGCCTACGATTTGGTGGGCAATGGCATCACAGAATCGATTGGCATAATTTCGTTTGGTAAATACAGTTCATCATAATTACAGTCACCTCTAAACTAATGTATTCAATGTCTAAACCCCTGACCCTTACCCACACAGCATACATGTGTCATCACAGCTCGTTTCTGGTGTACGAGTCGATGGAGAATCCGACCCAAAATCGGTGGAATAAGATAACGCACATCAGTGTCAGCGTCTCGTGTCTCATAATACTGTTGTTCGGTGTCTTCGGTTACACCACATTCACGGGCTTCAGTCAGGGAGACCTTCTCGAGAACTACTGTATGTCCGACGACTGGGCAAATGTGGCCCGAATTCTCTTCTCCACCACAATTATGCTCACGTATCCCATCGAGTGTTTCGTTGTCCGAGAGGTATATCACAGACACCACACAATTAGTGTTGTAAATTACATGTAATATAGATTTTTATATTACATATTACAGTCATATGACGTCATATAACGTCACATAGTGTAATATAGAAAATACACATTTTGTTTAAATAATGCTAATTTAGAAATCATGGCTAAATTTACAATACATTCGTCACTTGTATTGCCAGTAGATTATCGAAACACACTTTATATGGTTATTTTATTGTGTTTCAATTAACTTTTTAAATAATATCGTTAATTACAATATCATAATTGTCCAGTCAATAGATGGCGCCAGAGCTATATTACACATTTTGTAATATAAAATTTTTATATTACACTTTACATGTCATATAACTGTAATGTAAAGTGTTATATGACGTCATATGACAGAACTCACAACACTACACACAATACAGCCGTTATATTCCTCATCAGATCTAATAATCAGACAAATAACAAACCAATTGATTGATTAGGTTCTGGAAAACGCCATTTGGGACGGAAAACCGCCGGAAACCAAATCGCATCACATTATGATAACTGTGGCAATAGTGGCCACTTGTTTCATATTCTCCACATTCACCGACTGTTTGGGTATTGTTCTCGAACTCAACGTAAGTGCAAAATGTTTGGCAGAAAACGTGTTATCATATAGAAAATGGTATATTTAGGGTGTATTAGCGGCGGTTCCGTTGGCATTCATACTGCCGGCGCTCTGCTATTTGAAGCTAGACTCGGGCCGTCTCCTAGAGTGGCGCAAAGCACCCGCATTCCTGTTGGCGGTGTTCGGCTTCGCGGTGGCCATAATCGGCACTTTCTTAGCAATGGTTCGAGTCATCGATGGCGTCACATGCAGTCACGGCAAGGAAATGGACTACTGTTTGGCGCCGCACATCCAAAACAAGACCACATCCATACTCTTGTCGTTGATGAACACCACCACACAGACCACACTCAAGCCTTAACCGTACGGACGTTCCCCTTAACCGCTATTATACACAACAACTCCCGAACCAAAGTATATATTCAGTAGACTTTTACAAACATAAAACTACAGGAAAAGGTATGATTCCTACGGTATGAGTGAGTTATGGACACCGGTATAGTAGATGACGACAGCAGAGGCTAACAATTTAGCGTAATTTAGGAAAATGAGCGCACATTTTGGGTACTGATAACAGTGTAACAGTTTTGGTGGTTTCCGGTTATATCGACACAATGTCAGTATAAGGGGAGAGAAGTCTACTGTATATATAAGATTATAGCGTATTTATAACAATTAAAACCCTAAACATCATAGGCTTTAAACCAAAATCCGACACAATTAATGACAAAACAAATTATAGTTAAAAACCAACTGTTATTTATTTTTGTGATAATATATATATTTCTCAACTAATTTATTAATTATATAAATGTTTTCATGAATTATAGGAATTTTTTGTTTTACTTTTTCTTGTATTTTGATGTAAATATAATAAACGTTTCAATTGATAATAATATGCATGAAATTTTTCAACAAACATCTCTTGTATTTTTGTGCTCCAAAACAATTATATCTATAATTATATATATTATATATAAGTTATTAATTAATTATATATACTCTGTATATGAGATCTCAAGTCTTTCAAAAACACTATTTTGATGTTATATTTAACAATGAATTAATGGACAGAATGTATGACAAAAACAACTTAATTGTAAAATTAAAAAACAAATTGTTATCGATTTTTGTCTTAATAATTGGGTCAACAGATTGTGCTGTAAATTATAAAAACTTTTCAAATAATTTGGTATTTAAATGAAACTAATGGACAATTAATTTATGCTTTTGTTTACAAATAACAGTAATAATAGTTTAAAATATCAAAGACAACAGTAATTAAATCTAAATGAGTGTCAAATTGATTATAAATGATAAAAATAAACTCCGGGCACAAAAAATAGGGTGAAATACAAAAATTAGGGGGAAAATGGTATTTTGATTGAATGGAGCACTAATTGATTGATTTGCGCGAAAAAGTAAAACATAACAAAACTATTTTATATAACTTATATTTTTTAACGTCATTTGTATAGGAATTAAAAATAATGAATTTAAATAATAAAACCCAAAAAAGCGTTATAATCATGTATTTTGATGTCTTAATCGGCTTTTTGGCAATAAAGCTCTTTTAGAGACTTTAATTCTTCGATTAGAGCCTTGTTTTGGTTCTCAAGAACTGCTACTCTATTCTCGAGGCACTTAATGTACTCCTTCTTCTTCCGCCGACATTCTTTGGCCGCTTCTCTGTTGACAATCAAATGCAAAACATTAGACAAACAATCCTTTTATTGGAGAACCAGTCAATGAAAAATCAAACCTATTTTTTAAAAGCCTGAGTTCTCTCTTTTTGGACGCCTCTTCGGGAACCACTTGACCCCCTTGTAGACCACCAGTCGATGTCATGACTACTCCCTGTGTGATACTCGTCTGCGACGGCGCCCGGATTTGATAGGCCTGTAAATCGGCCGCAGAAACGGTGACTAAAAACATATGTTTAAAAACAATCATTAGAATCGGGAAAAAGTGACCAATGTTCGGTGAGTGCAATCATACCGGGTACATAGAACTGTCCGTCCTGGCCCTGCGTGGCGTACTGCACAATAGTACCCTGTGAGCCAGCGTTAGCATTGGTCATCGTAAGTGTCTGTATGCCTTGAAGAGTGCCATCTTGAGAGCCCAGCTGTATGGCCGACGCGGGCAACACTTTCAAGTACTGTCCGCCCACTTGTATGGTTGTGGTGCCGTCCCTCTCGTCGTCTTCCTGTTTGATTTCTGCGGGAATGGCTGTCACAACACTCTGTCCTTCTGTAGACGACAAATCATTTAATATCTTGCGATACGACGGCCTTCGGGCTAAGATCTCGCGCCGCTTTCGGGACTCGTCTTCAAATATAACGGGCGTTAAGGTCTCACTGCCGTCGTCTCCCTTCGACAATATCTATAGTCAACAATTCAAATACATGTGTCAATCAGACAATCCATACAACACAATGTACTTCAATGCAAAAAGAGGACAGACCTGTACGCCGTGATGTATACCGGTATCCGTATCAGTGCTATGTATGACTGAGCCCTGACCTACTTGTTGTCCGCCTTTCAATAGTATAACGTTTCCTTTCGGTAACTATTATTTTTAATTAAAAATATAAAATTATAAATAACTGAAACATAAAACGTAAAGTGAATGACAAAGCAATGAAATCGATAGACAAGTCATACGACAAGCAAATGAAAGCATAATCTGTCAGAAGAAAGTTAGACTAAAAGCTAAGCGATTGTTGAATACCTGAACAGTTTGTACTGTTTGGGCGCCGCCGGTGGCCTGGATTACAGACTGTTGGTTGGGCTGAATAACCGATTGCACAACGTTTGGCTGATTGGGTAGTAATTGTACTATCGATACGCCGCCACCCGCTTGTGGCACAGCTATGGCTTGGGTTGTCTAGAATACAGGAAGAGGGCAACAGATATAGCAAACGTGTGTTTTAATATCTCCCCATTTAATGCCACAATTCAATTATAATATACATATTGTGTTTATCGTATGGAAAGTGAGTGTAAAAAAGTTAACACATTTGAGCATTAAATATATGCACAGAAAAACCAACAATTAATTTATTGATTCTACTAATGAGATGAGAAAAACTAATAATTAAAATGATATGAAATGCTATGTATTGTACAAAAAAAGAGGAAAATTGAGCGCAAAAAGCACTGTTAGTTTGGACTTAGAATTAGCGATAAAATTATATAAAATATACATTCATTTTCATATCGATATCTCTCTCTCTCTCTCTCTAGCGTTGGCTTCAAATTACGTGTGGGAGGGGTTTGGGATTGACTGCACATACATGTGCTAACTGTACATTAATTCTCTGGTAAACTCAGAGTTGTATGAGTGTGAGTGAGAGAGAGAGAGATATCGATATGAAAATGAATGTATATTTTATATAATTTTATCGCTAATTCTAAGTCCAAACTAACAGTGCTTTTTGCGCTTCCAATTGTAATAATGTTTGTTTTAATATTTTATATTTTGTGAAAATTACTTGATATGTATTAACGCCGACAATATTCCCCGCTTTAACTAATATACACAACGAATAGTCAGTTATAACTGCGATTAACTGTTAAAAATGTATTAAATCATTAATGAAGTAACTAATAATCATTGTGTTTCATAATATAATTACCACAATTAAAACTACTCCAAAACCAAAGCCTCCGGTTCTAAGAGCATATGGTATTCCTGTTATTACATAAACAATTTGAAACTTAAAGTATTTTTACAAAAATTAAATAAATTTCATTGATTGACACAAACCTATAACACCGGAGCCGATAATACTGTTGACATAATTAAAGCCCGTTTGATGTAAATTACTGGTCGGACCCAATCTATTACAATTGGGTTCATAGACCAGTTGCTTCGTGTCCGCCGGTGTAGCTGTCGATTGAGATGCGGTGTCGTCATCGCCCTATCCATACATTCACAACATTATCAAGTGATTACAATATAATTACATATTTATTGTAATCATATTATTATAACTAAATTAATTGCTAATTAAAAATGATTAACAAAGCATATTATATGACACTATTTGGCAAAACGTGAGTATTTTAGTTATGCATAATTATTCATATTATAATCACTTATTTTTATTCTATTACCAATACTTTCATAAGTAGTCTATAATTAATAGTGGTTTTAAAAATTGCTGACAATTATTTAATATGTTTTACTATAGATAATTGTAAATATTACTAATTATTATTCTTGTATTTAGTAAATAATACATTTACATAAAATATAATTACTTATTATTAATGAAATTAAAATAATATTTTGTATTATTTAATTTGGTTAGTTTATGTGAGGTCTGTGATACTATATATTTTTAATTTAATCTAATAAGTTACTACTAATTAAAATTAAAAATATATAAATTACCGGATTGTTATTGGAGTTAATTGTACTGATTTGTTGGGTTTCCTGAAGAATATAAGTGTTTTCGTTAGCTTTGGCGGCCATATGGACACACAATTACTATTTGTATACAAATTCTTGTATACAATAACACAGATTCTGTAAATAACACTTCAATTCTTAATCACAGAATATTAGCAAAAAGTCTCAATCAATTGATTAAACAATTAATGTTTTTAATTAAAATAATTAACAAATATCTTGCGAGTGAAGAAGAGGTGGGGAAATGACAGTTCCTTCACAATTATTTACTACATATTATGATGACTACTATTTGTAGCCAGCGTTCAGAGCGCGCACTCGTCTCACAACACACAACACTCCTGTCGTTCCCAAAGAATATATGCCTTTCTTTCCGATCGATATATTATTGTTATGTCTTGAGTGTTAAGTAATACTCGTTTTTATCATATAATCCAATCACTGAAGCCATAGAAATCATATGAAAACGCATTCACTGGCCGTGAATACAAACTTTTTTGTTTTATTACTTTTCACTCAAAATAGTGGTTAATGTTTCGTTTAGATAAATTTGATTTTAATTAATTTTTCCACTTTTTTGTTTATAAATTCAACACTTGAACATTAAATTAACTGAATTTGTTTGATAGAAAAAAAACTTTTGGCTATGAAATTAATGATAGCGTTTGCCTATCATGTGTGGGTTAATGGTAACCAAAAAAAGACACACATCCTGTTTATAATATAAATCGATACAAAGAGTTGTTTATTGCATATAAATTATCGTATTAAAACACCATTGATCGTTTAATTTAACTATTTAAATTTAAAACTCACAAAAAGTAACATGGTTTTCACTTTTGCCACTTTCCACTATAAAACTGTTGCGATTTCGCATAACCAGCCAATTGTTGTGTTGTGTGTCTGTGTTTTGCTCTCAATATTTCCTCTAATGCCATACAAAGCCACGTATTTTTGACATTATTTTTCCAGATTTACTAACCATTTGTAATGATATAATTTTTATAATGCCTTAAAAGTAGTGTAAGAATTGTATTAAACAGTTAGTTAGCTCTTTGAGGTCATGCGTGCACTCGTTATTATGAACGCAACAATGCATTTGTCTATTCATTTGTA